GCGCGGAGCCCCACTCCCGCCCCCCAGTGAAGCGGCCTGGACGCCACGCCTGTGCCTGCCCAGCCCCGTGGCGGTGGAGGAAGTGGAGAGGGGTGGGGAGCAGGGGCGGCCATGGGGGCGCGGGGTCCCCAGCTAGAGGGCCTCGGTCACCCGGTGTCTTGGAGAGCCGGTGGCCCCTGTGGGCGAGCTGGGCTCTCCTTGCTCCCCTCACTCCTCTCTCCCCTGGTGCCTTGGAGCAGGTGGCCCGGGCGGAGCCCTGGAAAATGCTAGGCTTCCGCTGGCTGCATTCAAAGCTCCAGATGAAGCCGGATATGGTGGCCAGACCTGTGATCCCAGCACTGTGGGAGGCTGAGGCAGGAAGGTCCCAAGTTCAAGACACACCTGGGCAACTTAATAACTTAGCAAGACCCTGTCTCAAAATAAAAAATAAAGAGGGCTGGGGATGGAGCTCCATGGCAGAGTGCCTGAGTTGGATTGTGCACACACCAGCACACACGTGTACAGTGAGGGTGCTGCCTCCTCTCCCCAGACAGCAATGTGTCGATCAATCTCGGGTGCCAACGATGAGGTGAGGGCCATAGAGGTGGGGTCCAACCATAGCCAAGGTGGGGCTGGTTACACACAGCCAGGTCAGACAGTTGGCAAGTGTGCTATACACTTGGGACAGAAGACCTCATCTATACAACTGTGCCACAATCCAGTAAGAAACGCCTGACATGTACGGAACATGCTGGAGCACGGGTAATCCCAGCACTCTGGCAGGCTGAGGCAGGAGGATCACGAATTCAAGCCCAGCCTGGGTAATCTAGTGACTTGGCAAAGCCCTATCTCAAAAACTATTTTGGGAGCCAGGGATTTAGCTCAGTAGTGCCACCACCTGCCTTGCAAGTGCAGGGTCCCTCCTGCATGCAAGGCAGGTGCTGGTCCCACTGGGCTAAGTCCCCAGCCTTAAAAAAATATTATACAACGAGCTGGGGATGCAGCTCAGTGCAAATCCCTGGGTTCGGTCCTCAGTATCACACACAAAAACCCCCTGATGTATACATTTTATTAATAACAAAGAAAAATAAGCTAAACAGAATGAGTATTGCCCGCAAGTGATTCTGGGAGCAAGAAGCCTTTTGTAAACTAAGGAACCAAAATCCCAGCAGAGGAGAGATGACTCCAAATTCCAGAAAGAACCAAATCTGATCACAGGCACAATCTTCCAAGGTGGTTCATGTCCACATCCTCTCGGGGAAATGAGCCAAAAACGCACATTTCAGGCTAGCTAAGCCCGGCAAGGTGGTGCATGTTTACAATCCCATCACTCGGGAGGTTGAGGCAGGAGGATCCCAGCAAGTTCGAGGCCAGCCTGAAGAGAAGAGGGTGAATCTGACCGAAGAATTCGGTGATGAACAAGTTAGGAAAAGGAGGCTGCGTTGAGATGTTTGCGAGCAGATATAGTGTGGAGTAGCCACTAGAGGGAGCCACAGGACTGCGCTTCTGCAATCAACCAGGCGCTGATTCGGGGACCTTTGGGACAGGTCGGGGGCGTTAAGTGCAGCTTTATCCGTGATCGCAGAGAAATCAGCCTCGCTAACACCGATGTCCGTGTGCGTATTGTGAAGCCTTGTTCAAGCGAGGGCTACGGAGATGTGTGAGATCAAAAAGCCAAATGTAAGGCCGGAGACTTAGCTCAATGGCACCACTCCTGCCTCAAAAGCTCAGGTACAGAATTCGATTCCCGGTACCAGGAAAAAAAAGCCAAATATTCATATATGTTTATTTTCAAAACATTTTTTATGAGACACATTTGAGAGGTACTTTTTTCAAATGTAGGAGGATTGATATAAAACTATGGTGTGTGTTCAAATGAATATCTAGTAAAGCTATGTCACTATGAATCTCCCTCAAAATCCTCCTCTCACTTTGAGCACACTTATCACTTTCTTTCCTATTTGTTTTTTGGAGACAGGGTGTCACTATGTCAGACTAGCCTTGAACTCCCAGTGATCCTACTGCCTCAGCCTCCCAAGAGCTCTTTTTCCATTTTATTTTATTTTATTTTATTTTTTCCTTTCCGGTACCAGGGATCAAACTCAGGATCTTGGGCTTTTGAGGCAGGCACAGTGGCACTGAGCTAAATTCCCAGCTCTTTCTCCTTTTGTGTGTGTGTGTGTGTGTGTGTGTGTGTGTGTGTGTGGTACTGGGGATTGAACTCCGGCCCTTGTGCTTACGAGGCAGGCAGCAGAGCCCCTGAGCCAAACCCCCAGCCCTTGTTATTTTTTTAGATAGGGTCTCACTATGTAGCTGAGGCTGACCTGGAACTCACTATGTAGCCCAGGCTGGTCTCGAACTCACAGTGATCCTCCTGCGTCAGCCTCCCGAGTGCTGGGATTACAGGCGTGCGCCTCCACTCCTGGCCTCTTTTTCCTTTTTAAACAAAAAGTTTATTTAAAGAACAAGACACTTCACTTAAAGGGAAAATTAGTATTTTTTTTTAAAGTAATTTACTCTTGCTGGGCATGGTGGTGCCCAGTGTCATGAAGCAGCCACCGGTCACTGAGGACCAGAATGCTGGGCGTGGCCGGCAGGGGCTTCACGGGCCCTGCAGGCTGTGAGAACTAGCTCTGGGGAGGGGCCTCCCGTCTCCCTGCCACAAGCCCACCGGCCAGCACAGTGGCTCATCCCTCGCCCTCGCCCTCCCCCTGCCCTGTGGAGCTGCCCGCCGGCTGCCTGCGTGATCTGCTGTCCTCACCATCTGCTCAGGTCCTCACCCTTCCTGGCCTTTTCCTGGGCTGCCACATCTCTGCATCAGTGACACCTTGTAGCACTTTGCAGCGTCTGCTAGACATTGTACGTTACACAACCCCACCCCTTCTTTCGCCTTCCTGCTTCCTTTCTTCTTCCTTCCTTCTCTTCAAGTTACCACAAACTCTGTGATTTAAAATAACAGAAATTTAAGTTGGGCGCAGTGGTGCACACCTGTAATCTCAGTGGCTCGGGAGGCTGGGGCAAGAGGATTGCAAGTTGGAGCCCAGTTTGGATAATTTAGGAAGATCTTATCTCAAAATTTTTTTTAAAAATGGTGTCACCATTTGTCTCGCAAGTGCAAGGTCCCGAGTTCGATCCCCGAGTACTACTACTACTCCTAATAATAATAATAAAATTAAAAAGGGCTGGAGATGTAGCTCAATGCACAGGCCCCGGGCTTGCAGGGCATGGTGGCATGCGCCTGTAATCCCAGTACTCGGGAGGCTGAGGCAGGAGGATTGCTGTGAGTTCAAACCAGCCTGGGCTACACAGTGAGTTCCAGAGCAGTCTGAACTACACAGTGAGACCCTGTCTCAAACAAAACAACATAAAACAAACAAAGGCCCTGGGTTCAATCCCCAATGTCACAGAAAAAGAATAAGTAAATCAATAAATCTAGAAATTTACTCTCTCACATTTCAGGAAATGGAAAACCCAAAATCAGCCTGTTAATAGAATTAGTTCCTTCTGGACACGAAGGGAAGATCTGGTCTATGTCTACCTCTTAGTTTCTGGAGAGGGCCACCAATCTTTGTTATTCTATGGCTCATGACTAAATCATGAAAGTTTCTGTTTTCACATGCTGTCCTGCCTGTACCTGTCCTGCTGGGCCTTGTGACTCAGGGATCGTCCAACTCAGTGTGACTTCATCTCATGCAAGGGCCCCACCTTCCAACAAGGCAGCTCTTGTAGATTAAACTGTGTCCCCTAAAGGAAAGGCCAACCTGAACTACATAGTGAGACCCTGTCTCCAAAGAACAAATGCAAACAAAAAAGAAAGTGGGAGTATCACAACTGACTTACACAGAAAAGGAGGATCACAAAAGGAAACAAGGACCAAGAGCACAACAACGAATGAAGCATCCTGGGCAACACGGACAAATTCCTCGAAACACACAAATTACCTAAATTGATACAAGAAGAAATAGCCTTACAGCAAGCTGAGAGACTGGATCAGGACGCAAACCTCAGCAAGACAAGGTCTAAGCCAGATGGTTTTGTAGGTGAACTCCAAGGAAGATTGCTTCCTAACAGATCCCAAAACCCTGGGATGTTTGGGGGAACTGGAGAAGAGAGGAATTCGCCCAAGTCATTTAAAGGCGTATTAGCACCTACATTCCCCCATGGGGTTCAAGAGGAGAGAGCCCTTCAGAACTCTTCTAGGCGGCTATAGCATTGTCCTGATTCCAAAGTGAGATAAAGACCTCGCCAGCCCCCGAGTCTTGGATGAGCATCTTCTGGGGTTCAGAGCCCTGAAGCCATGGGTCACCCATGTGCACTCTGAGACATGCTTTAAATTTTGCGCTGGAAGCCCTGTAACTGCCTTAAAAATGGAGTGCATTAGGGAACAGACCTGTGCGCAATGGTAGGAGAGTCCACCTAAAACCATGCTTCATGGTGTTCCAGGAAAAGCTTTTGACTTGCTGGTGAGCCATTCAATGTGGCTGTGTTGTCCACTGTGTTTCTGAATACACTGGAGGTGTTGATGTGTGTCCAGAACCAGTGGAGCTGCCATTCAAAATTAAGGTATTGGCTTTGCAAAAAAATCCTAGCCGTGCCCTTCCACCATGATGTTATTCCATATCCCAGGCCCCGGAGCAACTGGGCCAAGAACCATGGACCGAAACCTCAGAAACCATGAGCCGAATGAGTCATTCTGCCCTTAAACTTGGTCTTCTCTGGTATTGTGCCATTTACAGAAAGCAAACACAGTGTGTCCATGTGGCCTTCCATGGACATCATCCATGAGGGCATCACCCTTTCCCAGATGCTGGGCACTGGGACCTCCTAATCTGGTGGACTCATGATTATGAAGACTGGACACTCCGGGAATGGGCCCCTGGAGGAATGACAAGAGGACAACTTCCTGCTTCCTGTTTTTACTCCCTTTCATTCTTGGACTGTGTGTTCTACCTGGCTGTGGTCCTGTGGGGCAGGAGTTCAGATGTGCCCAATGTTGTCCCCAAGCTGAGCCTTCACTGGGCTTTCCCAGGCCACACACTTCTGAGTGACACTGTGTAGGGAGGGAACGGTGGACTCTGTCATGTCCCCCTTGTCACACCTCTGTCATTTGATCTGAGGTGATACAATCCCAGACCTTTCCGTAAATCAGAAAGATGAATCGGAAAGAGGCACCATGGGCAGAGTCACAAACCCATATTCGGAATAGGGATCGGTAATGGTGTAGGGGCTGAGGATTTAGCTCAGTGGCGTTGCACTTGCTTCAAGGTCCTGAGTTCAATCCCAGGTACTAAAAAAGAAGAAAAAATGGTGTTGTGGCTTGTGTCTAGATGTTCCCCAAAACCGCATGCAGTCATAAGTGGAACTTTTCACAGGTGGCTGGATCTAGAGTGTGTGATGCTGGGATTGATTCATGGTGCAATGCTAGGCTCAAGGGCACTAGGATTAAGGGTGTGAGTGCTGCCTACCCTAAGTAGCCTGGATGAGGCATAAGGGGCAGGGAGACGCTGTTAAGATCCCCCGTTGCTTTTGCTGTCTTCTATGTGCAATGAACTGTTTCTCCTCCAAGATGCCCCTCTGCCATGTGCCACTCTGCCTCAGAGCCAGCCAACTATGAGCTGAAGCCTCTACAAACCAAGAGCTAAATAAATCTTTCGCCCTTTAACTTTGGGTGTTGGGTGTTTTGTCTCAACCAGGAGAGAAAAGTAACTAAGGCAGAAGGTGAAATTACGTTACTGGTGAGTGTGATGGTGCACAGTTGTAATCCTATGTCTTAGTTACTTTTCTCGTTGCTGAGACACAATAGCCAATGCCTGAAGTTAAAAGAGGAAAGGTTTATGTTGGCTCATGATCTGTGGAGGTTTCAGGCCCAAATCATTGCTAGCTCCATGGCAGATGGCATGGCAGAGGCGCATCGCAGAGCAGGCAGGAAGCAGCAGCAGCAGCAAGTGACAGTAGCAGCCCTGCTTCTGTCCCTTGTATTCCATCCAGGCTACACCCTTAGGGAGGGCAGCACTCACCCCCAGGGTGGGATCCCTGAACCCTAGCATCACACCATGAATCTCAGCATCACATCCTCAATCCCAGTCTTACACACCCTGGGTCGAGCAGCCTCCAGAAAGCCCCTATAACCTATAACCACATGAGGCTCTAGGGGGACACCTAGGTTTAAGCCATAACATCTCACAGCTGGGGAGGCTGAGGCAGGAGGATCACCATAAGTTCTAGACCAGCCTGGGCTACACAGCAAGACCAGATCTTAAAAAACAAAAAAAGAACTTGAGTTACTGGTTCCTCCTGGGTGCAAAAGCAGTATTCTCAGATGTGATATACTCTGATTCCAGAATCCCAAAGGATCCCTTATGTATTGGTCCTTTTTCTTGCAGGTAGTGAGAGCGTGGTACAGCAGCTTGTCCTCTGTCTTACAGGGACACCCTGGTAGTGCCCAGGCCATAATTTTGGGAAATGTCATTGCTGTGACACTGCTGAGACTTTGTGGGCTCCACTTTTGGCAGGGGGGGTACTGGGGATTGAACTTGGGACTTTGTGCTTGTGAGCCAGGCAGTGGAACTGCTGAGCTACATTCCCCTGCCCTGTAGACTCCACTTTCTATCTCTGGAATGCATGTGCTTCTTACTGAGCACTCACAGGACTGGTCACTTCCTGCTGGGTGTAGTCCAGCTATCCACATATGGCCAAACAGCATGGGATTGTTCACCCAGGGTGGCAGTGGGATGTGTGGAATGTCACGCTCCTTGTGGACTACAAGATAACAGAGTTCCTGAATTACTGTAACTCCAGGGCAAGATAGTGAATTTGAGCTACTGTCTTTTGCTGTAATTAGGATCTGATTTTGATCTTCTTTGTTGACAGAGATTGAAAACAACAGTTGCTGGGTGTGGGGGTGCATGCCTGTAATCTCAGCACTCAAGAGGCTGAAGCAAGTGGATTGTTTGAGAACAGGCTGGGTTCACTGCAAGAGTACCTCGAAAAAGAGAAGGAAAGGGATAAAAGGAGAGGAAGAGGAAAGAAAATGAAAGAAAGTAAGAAAGAAAGAGAAAACAAACCCTATCAGTAACTACATGTATTAGTCAGTTTTTCCATTGTTGGAAGACAGTATCTAACACTCACAATTTAAAAGATGAGAGGTTTAGGGCTGGGGATTTAGCTCAGTGGTGCCTCCACCTGCCTTGCAAGCACAAAGGCCCGAGTTCAATCCCTGGTACAAAAAAAAAAAAAGTGAGAGGTTTAATTCAGCTCACAGTTTCAAGAGGTTCAGTCCATGGCCAGTTGACTCCAAGGCAGAACCATCACGGCGGAAGGGCATGGAGGAACAAAGGTGCTCAGTTCATGGTGACCAGGAAACAGGAGAACAGCACCAGAGATGAAGGGGCTGGGGATCAGACATAGGCCAGGTCCCACCTGTGACCCCAGACACCCAGCAGTGTGCTCCACAATCTCCTAGGTGGCTCCCAAGCCAGTCGGGTGGCCTCAACTGAGCTTGACAGTCATGCGCACAGCGTCAGCAGATGCACTGGTCTCTTCCAGGAAAGACACAGCTTCTGTGCTTCTGCCACTGGTGGGAGGAGTTCCTGGTAGTTCAGTTTTGCTCCCCATGACCTACTCAGTGTTTGTGGGGGCCATAGAGCTGAACTGGGTGCCGCGGAGATGCCATCCTAGCACACTTTGTCTTTGATGGCCACACCACTCTACTGCCCCCTGGGGTGCAGCACTGCTTCTGTCCTACAACCCGAGCCTGCAGGGTCGGGCAGAGGGGAAGTTAACAGGTCTTCCTCTCGGCCTTCCCCAAACCTCCAGCAAGGTAGTTCTGCCACCCACTCCTTGTTCACAGCTGGCCGCCAATGTGTTCAAGGTGTGAGGAATCTTCCAGAAGTGTAATAAGATTGATTCCAGGTATACATGTCAGCCCAGCACTCTGGGAGGCTGAGGCAGGAAGATCCCAAAATCAAGCCCAACATGGACAACTTAGCAAGATCCTGTCTCAAAATAAAAACTTAAAAAAGGGCTGGGGATGAGGCTCGTTGTGAAGGCCTTGGCTTCAATCCCCAGTATCCCACACATGGGGAAAAAAAAAAAAATCAGTTCTGTGTATCTTCTCCTGACTCACCAGAGTGGCCTTGTCCCCTATCAACTAATCTGCCTCTCCCGGGATTTCCAGTCCCTGTTCTGGCCTGACACACTCAAGGCCATCCCATTGCATCACATAATCCTGTCTTTCTGTCAGCACCTGTCACCCAGGCTCAATGGGCTTCTGGGAGTGAGCAGTTTCCTCAGGACAAGGCTGCACTGCCCACGCCTACCTCTTCCTGTTGAGCTGAGCCCCCAACCCTGCTGGTCCACAGGGAGTCTGGGGGAAGGATATCCAGCTCATGTGAGACCCACACCTCTAGTTTCTGTGGAGTGGAGGGTTTTTTTGTTTTTTTTTGTTTGTTTGTTTTTGGACAAGGTCTCACTACATAGTTGAGACTGACCTGGAACTCACTATGTAGCCCAGGCTAGTCTTGAACTCACAGTGATCTTCCTGCCTCAGCCTTCCTGCTGGGATTACAGGCATGTGACACCACGCCCGGCGTGAGTGGAGGTTATTTCAAGGGGATGAGAATGCTTTCCTTGCTCAGGGGGTCCAGGAAACTCTGGAAGTTCACAATTTTCAGGCACAAGCAGGGTTTGGTGACACATACCTGTAATCTCAGCACTTGGGAGTCTGAGGCAGGAGGATTGTTGCAAGTCTGAGGTCACACTGGGTTACATAATGAGTTTGAGGCTACCTTGGACTATATAGCAAGACTCTGTCTCAAAAAGCACCAAATAAACAAATAAGTAAATCAGAAAGAAATTCAGGCGCTAACACTCACATGTCCACATCCTGGTCCCAGCACGCCCTGCTTTGGATCCGTGTTCTGAGCCCACAGCACTCCTGGGAGGTAGTGGCACCATTAAGAGGGGGGCCTAATGGGAGATCTCAGGGGTGTCCCCTCAAAGGGGCCAGTGACGCCCAGGCCCCTCCCTGCTCCCCTTTGCTCCCTGGCTGGAAGGTGAGTGATTTTGTGGTGCCACACAGGCTGGGAAGCAATGGGGCCAATTGATCATGGCCCGGGAGCTCTACAACTAGGAGCCCGACCAACCTTTCCTTTTTATAACTCAACTGCCTTGGGTGGTTGTCATAGTAATAGGCTGCTGACTGATGCACCGGGTCTCACTCCTCCCCATCACAGCCCTGCCTCCAGTAGCTGAGCTGTTTTACAGTTTAGCCCCAGTGCTGCTGTTCCATAGTCTTCCTCTCAGCTGCCGGAGAAGGGACCCCACTTGGGCACACCAGGCGGCCATCTGGCTGCCACACGGCACCCTGTCCTGCTGATCAGTGAGGATAGCCTGCTGTTCTCTTTCTCCTGGGTGTCCGGGCACCCAGCACAAGCAGCTTACCCTAACCTACCAGGCTGCCCATACTCCTATTTGGTTGGGACTTGTGTTTCCCGGACTCACATTTCAGTGTTTTCCTTCTGCCTGTGCCCCAAGTCCATCTGCAGCAGGTCAGGGTTTGTACGATCTCGGAGCCAAGCACAGGGGAGTTAAGGTCCTCTGCTGACCACACGATGCTGGGCCACTGCTGCTGCGTGAACCAAAAGGCCACACAGTCCCCGAATCCCATCCCAATGCCAGCATTCTACAGCCACATCCAGCTGGAAGCAAAGACAAAGCTCTATTAGGCACAGCTATGAGTGTGGAAAGTGACCCCGGTAATCAGAAAGAGCAAAACAGGTTATGGTGATGAGCACTTGCCTGGCAGGGCTGAGAGCCCTGACATAGCAGTTTCCTGCTATGGAAGTAAATGATGCAACCACGCCTGCCTGCTAGGTTCTGCGTCATGTGGAGGGCAGAGCTTAGGCCCAGACTTTGGAGCCAAACTGACTTGGTTGCTGTTTGAGTCACCTGAGCTGTCTGAATCCATTTCCTCATTCGAATCCCTCCTATGGGCCAAGCAATAGGAAGTGCTCGATAAATGGGGGCTAGCTGGGCATAGTGGCACACACCTGTTGGCGGGACTGAGGCAGGAGGATCTCTGTGAGTTTGAGGCCAGCCTGGGCTACACAGTGAGTTCAAAACAGCCTGAACTACATAGTGAGACTTTGTCTCAATAGAACAAAACATATATATATATTAGAAATGGTGGCCAATAGTATCAACACTGTATTTTCCCTTGATCTTGGACTTCTCAGCCTCCAGAACCATGAGAAATCGACCTCTGTTATTTATGATTATCCAGGCTATGGTATTTTTGTTGCAACATCTTGAAGAGTAAGCCCAAGGGCCAAAGTCCTCAGCAGAGTGTACTGTATGGGGCAGGAGAGTGGCCTGGACCAAGAGAAGTGAAGGCAACAATGTCTGAGCTGGGACGGAAGCATGAGAAGAATTTTCTAGTCAGGGACAAAGAGGAAGGGCTTCTGGGTTGAGAGCAAAGCTTGAGCTCTACCCCAGCCCCTCATGGAGGGGTGATTGGTGCTAACAAGAAGGATTATAAGAGAGGGACTAGGAGCAGCCTCTTAGGACATGGGTGGTCTGGGGGAAGGGTTCATGGCACTGAAGGTCAGCAGAGGTTCGTGATGTTTAGGAAACTTCCAGTCTGGCCCAGGAAAAGGTGGCTTGCCCATCTTGGCCATTCAGAGGCTCTGCCCAGCACAGGTCTGGGGTCCAGCTGACAGTGGCCTCCGGGTCCACAGCAAGGAGGGCAGGAAGCAGTGCCACTCCACTTCAATTTGTTTCCCTCGACAAACATCAGCCAGGCTGACGAGGTGTTGGAAGCAGGTTGTATTCAGGAGCCGAGAGTTGGGGTGGGTAGGGTGGCAGATTCTGAGAAAAACTCTAAGGAGTTTGGAGTCACCTGCAAGGAGATGGGTCCCTGCGCAGCCCAGACTCAAAACAGTGAGGCATCTCATGGCTGATTGGTGGATGTTATCCACGCTCCATGTGCAGGGAGCAGAGAACTGCAGAGCACATACCAGGGGACAGGTGGAAAGCAACTACAGTTATCAAAAATCATGGGAAGCTGTACTCAGGGCAAATGGCATAAAAGTGGGGTCAGGGTGACAGCAAAGTAAAAGCACTGTACCCTGACCACAGCACACAGCAGCAGCCTCCCATAAATCAGACTTTCTGAGTTTAAGGCTATGCACATCCGACCTGGTGCCTCCTCTACGTGTGAGTGATAGGGTGCTGTGTCATCTCAGGGGCTCTCCCCACAAATGCTTGTCCCAGAATTCACTCTGATCTTAATTACATGCATGAGATGTCTATTTATGAGCCCTTAATGAGGTAGAGGGAAAGGGACAAATGGTCAGGCTAGAACAGTGTGGGTGAACCTATTGCATGCCTGCCGCACCTGGCTGTTTGTATTATTGAAAGCTCTAAAAGGTTTGCCATCACTGGGCTAGGAGAACCAGCACGCATGTTCTCTTGCCTAGAGCATCAGAGATCTCTTGCGTTATTATTACTTTATTTTTTATCTCTCTTGGGCATTGGAAGGGTGGAATGGCCCTAGGTGCTATTTAAAAGTCAGTGGATGGCCGGGCGTGGTGTGGCACATCTGTAATACCAGCAATAAGGAGGCTGAGGCAGGAGGATCACTGTGAGTTTGGGACCAGCCTGGGCTACATAGTGAGCTCCAGGTCAGTCTCAACTACATAATGAGATCCTGTCTCAAGAAACAAAACAAAAACAAAAGTAAAATTCAATGGGTGGAAGGGAGTGACTTCCTCAGCTCCATTTTAACTAAACTAGTGGTGCTTCCAAAATTTCCATTTCCAGCTTGATATACATATTTGTTTAGGTGTCACCATCTGGGAGAAGGAAGCAGCTCAGTGGGGCTTTACTGAGGAGGGTTTGGTTCTCAGGTCACAAATTCAGAGGCTTACGGTTCTTCCTCCTTTTTCTCTCTCTGCCTCTGGATCTCTTTCCTTTTTCTTCCTTTTTCTCCCTCTTCTCTTTCCCTCTCTCACTGGGGACTGAACCCATAGCTTTCATGCTGAGCATTCCTTTATGAATTTTTAAATTTATAAACTTGGTGTCCCATCAAGCTGGTAAACTGCCGAGGCTGGGCTCATACTCGATCCTCCTGCCTCAGCTTCCCAGAGTGCTAGAATTGTCTGGCACCACACCTTGCTTCTTACTTTTATATTACAAGCATCTGGGAAAAGCATTATACTTTTTCACCTCCTGTATTTAATTTTACTATCCTGGGATCTCCCTCTCTTTCCAATATCAAAGTCCACCATCAGAAAGCTGAACATGCAATCAGAACAAAGCAAACACTAGTGCAACTCTGCCGATGCCTGTATCCGGGCCATATAATGGGAACCCAAAGCCCCACCTCCAGACCATCCCCTTCAGCCCATATCTTCGGGTGGGGCCAGACCCAAAGCCAGGACAGGTGTCTCCCTTGCCGGCCCGCTGCCCTACTAGGCAATGTCAGAGGCGGGCGGGGAGTTCAGGGGATCTGCCTAGTCAGGGCTGGGGAGAATCAGTCAGTGCCCCGGTGGGGAAGGCAACTGCCGTGGGAGGGCGACCCGAGCCCCCGCCCACTTGGATTGGGGACGTTGACTCAGTCTAGGCTTCAGAGCGAGAGTCTGACTTCTCAGGAGTCCTCAAATTCTGGCGCTCGCCCTCAAGCAAAATGGCGAGAGCGGCCTCCAGCACAGACACGTGACCAGCCCCGCGGCCCCGCCCCCGCGCGGTAGGTTCTTACGCGGCTGCTCGCTGCCTCGGCGCTGTAATCATGGCCTGGACGCCGGCTAGGGGCTGGGCAGTGCTCGGCCCACTGCTCTGGGGGTGCGCGCTGGCCCTGCAAGGCGGGATGCTGTACCCCCGCGAGAGCCCGTCTCGGGAGCGCAAGGAGCTCGACGGCCTCTGGAGCTTCCGCGCCGACTTCTCCGCCTCCCGGAGCCACGGCTTCGAGGAGCAGTGGTACCAGCGACCGCTGCGCGAGGTGCGGATCCCCGGAACCCCTCATCCTGCACCCCGGGGCTGCCCGCCGGGCGGAGGTTTCGATAACGGGTTCAGAGCCAGGCCCTTCGCGCGGATCGGGGGCGTCTTGGGCACCCCGCGAGGTCGCTCCGCATCGTGCCGCCTGCCTGGCTGATCCGGTCTTGCAGGAATCTCCTGTTTCAGCGCGGCCGCCCAGCGATCAGAGGAGGAGGAGGTGGAGAGGGGGCTGCTTGGCTTCAGGACAGACCGGCACTGTTGGCTCGGCCAGGACCACACTTCCTCTCTGTGCCTGCGGGCCATCTGCCTCTTAGTCAGGGTCTGGACTTCACTGCCTCGGACTGGGCGGTGGCCCTAGGTTCACCCTTGTCCTTGGGGATCTTAGCCCTGGTGCCATGTGCCCTGAGGAAGTGCTTCTGCGCTACTGCCACGGGCAGTCTTAGCGTTGGATCCTGATCAAGTTAGACAGCACGTGTTGTCAGTACAGGCAGCGCAGCAGCAGCGTCCCTCTGCTGTCAGGGCTTGTGCTAGGCGCCTGGGTTGCAGCTGTGAAGGGCAGTGGTCCCAGGCCTGAGCCCAGCTCTCCTTCCCCTAGTCGGGTCCCACCCTGGACATGCCCGTCCCTTCCAGCTTCAACGATGTGGGCCAAGATGGGCAGCTGCGAAGCTTCGTGGGCTGGGTGTGGTATGAGCGGGAAGTGATCCTGCCGGACCGATGGACCCAAGATCTGCGCACAAGAGTGGTTCTGAGGATTGGCAGTGCCCACTACTACGCCATCGTGGTCAGTGCAGGAGCAGCAGGCAGCGAGGGCCCATCATGGCTGCAGGGGCTCCCAGCTGTCACCTGACTGCCTGCCTTCTGGGGTGGTCCTGGGGGTCCCATGCTGGGCTGGGGACACTGCAGGGCCCCTCTCCTGCGCTGGGCCTGGCCTCTCCTCCCCATATCTCCTGTGTCCACAGTGGGTAAACGGGGTCCATGTGGCAGAGCACGAGGGCGGCCACCTCCCCTTTGAGGCTGACATCAGCAAGCTGGTCCAGACCGGGCCCCTGTCCTCCTGCCGTGTGACCATTGCCATCAACAACACCCTCACCCCGCACACCCTGCCGCCGGGGACCATCCTCTACAAGACCGACACCAACAAGTGAGCAGCACCTCCTCCCCAGACAGGGCCAGGGAGGCAGAACCCAGGCCCCAGGGCTGTCAGGGAGACCAAGGACCTCTGGCCACTGTCCTTTCATGCTAGGTATCCCAAGGGTTACTTTGTCCAGGACATAAACTTTGACTTCTTCAACTACGCGGGACTGCACCGGCCCGTGCTCCTCTACACCACACCTACCGCTTACATCGATGACATCACAGTCACCACCAACGTGGATCAGGACACTGGTGAGGCCTGCTGGCAGGAAGTGTCCTCAGCCAGACCCAGAGAGGCTCTGATCCCTGTTTGGAAGTCCCCTGAGAAAGGAAAAACACCCTCTCGGCGTGTTGTGGCCCTTGCAGGCTTCCATCCATTGAGGAGCTAACCCCAGGTGGTTGGAGCCTGTGGGGCCTCACTGTGAGGAAGTGGGGCCCAGGGGGAAGTGGGGTCTTTCCCGCCTGAACACCACAGCTCTTGCTTCATCTCCCCTCACTGCACACTGAGCTCAAGAAATAGCCCACCCTGGGCTGCTTCCCAATTTAGTAAGTCCCTGTCTCAAAAGAAAACATTTTAAAAAGGGCTGGGGACGAAGCTCTGTGCAAAGGCCCTGGGTTCCATCCCCAATGCTGGAAAGTAAC